TGAATTTTTAATTTTATCAAGTTGAGGGGATCTGGGACCCCTAAGTAGGTGTGGGACGCTGGGACCTGAAGGGTGTTGGAATTGGATTCTCCCAGAGAACGGGCAGCACCCCAGGGGCCAGGGTGGGCCATGTTGCGCGTCACAGGCCCCATCCGCCCAGCTCTAATATATCCAGTCTCTCCTGGGCGCATGGATACGTAGCAAAGGACAAGGACAAGCTTCGGCCACTCGGCTTGTCTTGGCGAGGTGTCAGTGTCTGCGCCAGGGAAGACTTCTGCGGGGGCAGGGCGTGGGAAGGAGGGTGTCCTAAGCCCCACTAGGCTTTAATAGCAGGTGCAAAGATGGAGCCTAGAAGAGACCTCCCGTGCGGTTCTCAGTGTGTGCCAGGGCATCCCCGCTAGGCAGAAACCCCCACTATTCTGGTCCCAGGTCTGTAGGGGCCAAGCGGGTGTCAGTGCTTCCAGGGCGGCACTGAAAGCAGCCTGGGTCTCAAAGAGACGCCCCCTCCCCTCCCTGGGCTTGTGCGGGCGCTGCCGTGTGGAGCGAAGCACCCCCAGCCCGGGAATGGGGTGGGGGTGCGTCTGCGGGTCACGACCCCAGGTGGGAGGTGTGCCCAGGCCCAAGGCACCAGAGGCAGCGATTCGGAACACTGAAAAAGGGGATGGGGACAGCAGAAATCCTAACTCGCCCCGCTTCACCTCGAACATGGAAAACAAAAACATCTTCTGGGCTAAAAATACATAGTCGGAGAGTCCCCGCGCGCTGGCGAGCGGCGCGCGGCTGCTGCCGGCCTGGCCCGGGAAGACTTGGCCGCGCGGCCGCCGATTACACCCAGCTCGGCTGGGATGGCTCCGAGCCGTCTGCCCTGACGTCAGCGGGTTCGGGGCCCCGCCGCGGCGAGATAGGCGGCGCGGCCGGGCGCGGGCGCGGCGCTAATCACTCCCAGATGGCCCTAATAGCGGAGATAAAGACGCACGGGGCGACCGGGAATAAATTTGTAATCAGGGCTCTACCATCTGATCATCAAAGCGGCCCAAATGCCGGGAGAATTTGAAGGGAATGTGGGTGTGTACGGCGGACGCTTTGTGGGGAGAGGCTGGGGGCGCAGTCCTCCAGAGGAACTGAGTCCCGCAAGGTGGAGTGAGGACAGGGAGAGAAGTCCGACTCCCGAGCGGGCACTTTTCCATCAGCCGGACCCGCCAGAGCCGCGGACCTGCTCGGGGCCAATTAGAACCCCTCAACTCGCGGTGTGGGAAGTCCGCCTGGCGCTGGGGCGCGCTGGGCCGTGGTTTCTGGGCTCCCAGAAACCTGGGATTCGTTTCCTTTCCTGGAGTAACTCCCTCTCCCTCCTCCCCTTTCTAAACAGTAAAAAATACTCCCTCCGCCTTCCTCCTGCAAGACAATCCCTATGGCAACATTTCTTTGCAAGGCTGATCTTCCTCTGGGAGGGGGTGCTGGGCCTCGGACTGGCCCCTGTTCGGGGCATCTCCAGAGTCTTTGTCTCCCAGGGGCTCACAGGCTCTCACCGGCCGGGAGTCCCTCACTTCCCGGAGACTCATTAGCGCCCCCTCCTTGTTCGGGGATCTGGACCCTAGCAGTAGTGCCTGTTGGAGGGCTTGGGTTCCCTCTAGCCAACACATCCAGGAAAGACTGGAAGTGCTCTACACCGGCACAGCCACAAGCTTCCTTTCTGAAAGATCATCTTCGCTTGGCACCTACTGCAAGTCCCTTTTCCAAGTCCAGGCAGGTGGGTGAAACTTGAGGGCAGGAAGAACGCAGCTGTGGAAGAGAAACACTGGCCTCATACACAGGGCTAGACACATTTCCTTAAAACTACGGGAAGAACCGGGAGTTTTCCTGTAAACTGCAATGCAAAAGAGTTGCAGCCTCTGCAGCTTCCTTTGCTCAAGTTAGTCCCTTCCACGCACATTTGTGCTCCCACAGCTGGCCTGGGTTCTCTCCGCACAGATGAAGTCTTGGAAGGGGCCCACAAGCCTCCTACTGCCTACGGTTTTGCATTTAAGCCTGCTCACGCCCTGGAACCTCTTCCAGCGAAAATCACAGCCCACTCTCCCTTTGACCCCTTAACAACCAGGGCTAGATAGCAGCCCTGGCATCCTGGCAGCCCCAGGTGTTAGCCAAAAGAGGCACTGGAGGGGAGTGGGAAAAGAGCTACCTTTCCACACCCTCCCCCTTTTGCCCACTTTTGCTCCCTAAAGGGCAGGGAGGCTGTCCATTCTCCTGGAGGCCACTGAATACCACTTCACTTCTGGGGAGACCTGTTCACCTGGCCCAGCCACACTTGAGACATCAAGCTGGGTGCCCACTTCCTAGGTGTCTGCCCACCCATAAGCTGGAGCTTCCTACAGAGCGCCCCCCCCCCCAAGCGTGCCCTTTGAGTTTCCAAAAGCAAGAAGAATCCCAGTTGATCTTGTCATCTCTGCACTTGGATCAGCAAAAGCCTTTAAGCTGCCATCAGTGCCCAGATGAGGGGCAAAGTCCTGGAAAATTGTGACTGCGAGTGGGGACTGTCTACACACACACACACACACACACACACGCACTGTCAGCAGGCAGAGCCCTTGCCCTTCCCGGGCTCCAGGGTTATCAGGCGCTGGGCCTGCGCGGGCTCTGGGGCCGGGCTCTGACAGCCAGATCTACCATCAATTTACCTTCCACCGCCCCGGCTTCCCATTTAGCTTTTAACGTCAAATCCTGCATTTTTGTCGGCTCCGGCCTGTCTAGAGAGCTTGCGATTTCGCTGCAGGAGTGATTGCTTTTAACAAAATGGCAGCAACCACATTATCCGAGCAATTAAAACAGAGGACTTTTAGTTGGTGCCGCAAGGCAGCAGCTTGGGAATTTTTTTTAAGCAAAGAAGAAGGGGAGTTACAAGAAAAAGAAATTTGTGGAAGACGGTGAAAAAGCAAGATGCACCACTCACTTTCCTAGGATTTGAGACCCCGGGGTAGGGATATTGCCGTTCTAGGCCCTCTGGGTAGGTTGGGCTGTGGGGAAGGCAGGGGTGTCTGGTCATCTGGGGTGTCTTCCCAAATGAAGCGTCAGATTAGTTGGGGCACACACCCATTGGGGGTTCGACCCCTTGGGTGTCAGGTCCGTTGGATATCTGATCAGCTGGGGTATCTGGCAGGTTCAAATGTCCAGGCATTTGGGGGTAGTGAGCTTGTTGCCGCTGGGCAGGAGAGCAGAAGGCAGACAAAAGAGGACAGGTTTTTGTAGCACAGGCATGGAAGCTTGTGTAGTAGCGAGGAGCCCTGTAATCTCCAAGAACCAGAGTCTTCTGCTTCACCTCTGCCCGTATTTAGTAAACAAACAAACAAAAAAGTGTTAAGCCAACAGAAATGCCTTCAGGCCCAGACAGGGAAGCCCAGCTACGCAAAGCAAGCACAGACATACATGCATGAAGGCAACTAACTCCTCTCTGGTTCCTGTGTTTAAAATCTCACCACCTCCACCACCATTCACTCCGCTGCTTCTCCCACCCCAAGGATCCGGTCGGTGTCTTTCTCGAGAGCAGATTAATGTAAAGATGAAAAGGAGGCTGGAGAAGGGAGGGAGCCACTCGGTCAAACGGACAGGGATCCCGGGAGTAACAGAAAATCAGGGCGCGCCTACCCCCTCTCAGTGCTATAAACAAAGGCAAGTGTCTGTAAACACTGCCCCTCGCCCACCGCGTCGGCCCAGCGCCGGCTGACCTGAGGGGAGAAAGTTCAGATCGCTTTGGCCGAGTTGTTCTAACCCCTCGCCCTCGCGTCTCAGCCGCCCGCAGAAGCAGCCCGCAGCGTCACCAGCGTGTCCATCCTCGACCACTTGTAATTCGCCCGCTGCGGGCGCCTGCTCAGAGCAAGCGTTCTCGAGGCGTGGGAACCCTGGCATCTGCAGGGAGAGTCTGTCCCCAAGTCGAGGTGCGAATATCACCCCAAGAAAGGGTTCCAAGATGGAAGCCCTCTGGCAAGACTTCTGGATTTATATACATGGCGTCTCAGGAAACAAACTGCTTTTTAATACGTTTCACCTTTCTTTCCCCCCTCCCCCCATTCCTGCTCTCCTCCCCACCCCCACTGAGAATCCTTTAGGGCACTTCGGTTTCTCTGTTTCCTCGAGTAGAAGTTCCTTTTCCAGTCAAGCCCAAGGCAAAGGAGGCCTCAGGGACTTCCTTCCGGGACTCGCCGGACTCCCAGGGACCAAACTTCCGACGGAGTGAAGTCCCGGCCGGCCGACTGGTAGCCCGGGAAGGCAGCAGCTTGCTGTGCTGGCCTGTGGCCGGGAAGACTTCAGACCGGCACAGTTAATATTAAGTTCCCTGTAGCGCCTTGTAAATCTAGCCTCCCTTTCACCCCCCACCTTAAATCCATGGACTTGTTCGCGATTTCTTACTTGACGTAAAATTCCTTGTTACCTAATCAGGGAATTTTCTGAAGGCCCTCCTCCCCCCAGCCTGCTCAGATGAAAATCGCTTGGATGGAGATTACAAGCAAAACCCTCCTCTCTTCTTTCCTTTCCTGGATGAAAGCCCCTTATTTTGAACGACAAGCTCCAGACTAGTTCCTGCAGCTGCAGTCACATCTGGGACGCCCCCACCCCCAACAACGCACCTCCTTCACCAACAGGCCCTCCAAAACAAAATTGGAAACCCCCACAAATGGCAAGTAGTCAATTTCAGGAAAGCAAGGACACATTCCCACCTTCTGAGCCATGGGCAGAGGCCTTCGCCAGTGCATCTCTCCTTCCAGACACCACTCAGTGTCCCCCCCTGGGGCTGGGGTGGCAGGGAAGGACCGACACCCTTTAGCAGAACACTCTTCAAGGACGCTTCGCAAGAAGGGGTCCTTCTTGCCCGGCCAGGTGGGGAGTTCACATGGATGATGGATATAGCCACTGACTCTTTCAAATAAAGTTAGAGGCAATCGTGATAATTTAGTTTACTTCGGAATACTTTAAATATTATGAAAACAAGTATAACAGTTTTGCTTTCCAACTCCTTTGAGGTATCAACCATTAAAAGATTGGGGTTTTTGTAAAAAAACACACAGTGGTTTATTGAATACTTACAACGTTTACACCTTCAATATTAATTAAATTCCACTTAGTTTTAGAGGACAGGAGGGCACAAAACACATAGCTGTTGGTAACATTTTTGAATAGGGAACGACCACAGATGAAACATCACTAGATACCGATCCCAACAGAAATGTTAGCGGCCCCATTTTCTGCTTTGAAATAAAACTTTATAATCCCCAGGAATATTTATATCCAAAGGCCAAGTATTAATGATTCACTTCACATACACACTACTGTCCGCGGTCTTTATCTGGGAGGGGTTGGGGAGGGGAGAAGAGGCAACTCTGGTGTCTACACAGCCAGGAGGGAACATTCACACACAGAATCTACGAGACGACGGGATCCCTTACCACTTGGGAGTGTCCTCTTCATATTAAAATATGGAATGCTTTTCTTCAAATATCCACTTTTTTTGGAGGGGGAGGTGGGGAAGGATGCCTCGGAGGGGAATAAAGACAGGGGAGGCAAATTGCACATAAATAAACCGGATGATTCCCATTGCGAGAAGTCCTCAGAGCGTGCGCGGAGAGCTTTCGCCGAGTCCCGGGGTCTGCAGCCTGCTCCAGCTCAGTCGCGTTCTCTCCTCCTCCTTCTCACTGCTTGAGCTCCAGGGCCCAGACGTGCTGCGGCCAGCCCGTCCGGCCTTTGGTTTTCTTGTCGTTGCTGCTCACTGTGCTTTTCAAGATTTCGTTCTGAGCGGAGGAAAGGTGCGGGGAAGAGAAGCGGAAAGAGAAATTCAGAGAAGAGACCTGGGTCTCTACCACCCCCGCGCCTCCCAGGCCAGAGGAGACGCCGAGAGGGAGGAACCATGGGAGGCGGCAGGGTTTCTAGTCCCAGCCCCTGCACAGACGCTACGGATCAGGCCTCTGCGCGCCAGCAAGCTCTACTACCTACGGGACCGGTACGTTTATAAACAGCCGCTCGTTTTCAAGTCGGTGGTGGAGGAGCTGGGGCCTTCCTCTGGAGCCAGGACGAGAGTGTGGGTCGGCTCAATCTGGTTGCCGTGTTTTCAATGGCAATCCCAGACCCGTGCCCGGGGAAGATGGGCAAGTCGGATCCCCCTGGCCTGGGCCTCTCGGCCAGCTGCTCTCGGTCTCCCACTCGGCCCATGCCTGCCTCCAAGAATCTGGAGCCCCTGGTTATTTGGGGAGTCACTTGTGAGGTGACCACAGTGCCACGGGCCCCAAATAAGAAAAACTCGGCCAATGAAATTATTTTCTAGGCCCTTTATGGCCAGAGCCCTGTTTTGAACACCCTCACTAGGGTGGTTGACCAGAACCTGATAACTTTAACTTCTCAATGGCAATTTTGTGTTATTGTTGACAACAATAACAGTAATTAAAGGACTGCTTTTTTTTTGGTCTTAAGATGTACATGTTCATGCAGATTAAACCCAGAAACATACTATCCTGGGAAGTTACATTTTAACCTCTTTGCCCAAAGGAAACTGGAGTTACTTTCAGAAGTTAAAGGAACTTATTTTACGCTGACCTTTACTCAGGGCACAGTAAAGACAGCGACAAACCTCTTTAAGAGCTGGTGTTCTCGCTTGTGAGGGAAATGCCATCGATAGTGGAAAAATTGTATCGGAGCACTTACGGACGACTTGCTGTAGAAATATTAAGCAAGCAAGGTCCGATTGGAGACCAAAGGAAGGCGCTAAGGGACCCAGAACGAGGGGTTCGGCCCAGCGCCGGTCTGAAGCTCAGTCCCCACCACCGTCCCCAAGGCCCGCCCTCAGGGGCTGGGGAAGCTGTGGTAACCTGGAGGAAAGATGGCCGGGGAAGCATCCCGCTTGACCTCTTCCTCCGGCTGACACCCTCCCCCACCCCCTGGCTCCTGCGGGAAACCCTCCCTCGCAAGCTGGTGCAGGCACCTTCCACTCAGAACACAGCCGAAGAATGGCGCGTGCCCCGCTCAGCCCCGCCGACAAGAGCCCGGGAGGACCGGTTGCGCGAACCCCACACCCCCAGGGCCCGTGCCCCTTGTACTGACCAGCTCCTTCTTCCTCTTCTCTTCTTTCACATCTGTCTTCTTGATCTCCGCCTTGAAGGCCTCTGCCTCGCCGTTCTGGTCGTCCTTGGCCAGCAGGTCCATGAGGTAGGCGATGTAGCTGGTGGCCAGGCGCAGCGTCTTGATCTTGGAGAGCTTGGTGTCGGCGGGCACGTTGGGGATGCACTCTCGCAGCTCGGCAAAGGCGCTGTTGATGCTCTGAGTCCTGCGCCGCTCCTTGCGGTTGGCGGTGCCGCGGCGCTTTACCGGTCGCGGCCCCCCCAGGCCAGGGGGCCCGGCGCCCGGCGGCACCCCCCCGTAATGGGAGTGGTCCAGGCCCGCGGCGCCGCTGGCGTACTCGGGGCTGTAGGACAGGGCCATGCTGTAATCTGGGGGCGACATCTCCGGGTGGCCGATGAGCCAGCCGTGGAAGTAGGGGT